AAGTGTCTTCAAGGTTTCCCACCCACCCATAAAGACGTCCTTGCAGAGGTACCTAGGAAAGGCTGCTGCCAAGTGCCCTCCTTGCTGCACCTCCCTCCACAACCCAATAAAGAAGCCTCCGAAAGGAAGCATCTGGGCTAGGAATGCAAACATACTTATGGGCACAGCTGGCCAGGGGGACCTGAAACCTTGACAGAGACTCCTTCAAAGACTGCAATGCACTAATTGTGCAGCAAGACCACGGTAGGAAAGGCAGACTTCCCATGAGGCCTGCCAGGTAACGCTTTTGTAATTGCATATGGATGGGCCTGAAAGATCACATATAAGGTTTTGCCCAAGAGGTGGGCTCCTCAAAGACAGTGTCCTTGAAGAATCTTAGCCTCTAGACATTCAACATAAACAAAATAGGCTAAAATTCTAACTAAGATTAAATAACTTAATAGAGACTCCTCTACCATTCTAGATGATTAAGAAGTTTAACAAATGTTAAAAACACCTGTCCCTAGCCCTCAAGGCAAAATGTTTCTTGTTTTGTTTTTTTTTAAATCAAAAACAATAACATAAAAACCTAAGATATATATATATATATATATATATATATATATATATATATACATAGCTGTAAGAAATAACATTTTTATTTTTCTCCCTCTTCACATTGTAATACATTGACATATATCAAAATGTAATGAGGGGAAGATACAGAAAATGCTTATTAACAGCTGCTAAAGAAATAAAAATACAGTCTTAGTAATCTAATATTCAAGTTGGCAGCTCTCTGAAAGGCGCGATTCAGTCAGGCAAGGGGAATTGGTACAAATAAGTTACATAACTTTCCATTTTGCCACTCAGAATATTAAAAAGATGTGTACTCAATGGTTAAGATTTAATAAAATAATTTGTACTGCTTCATCAAAAATTCTTAAGCGAAACTGACTTTTTTTTTCTTAATTGTGAGTGCATGGCCATGAAGAACACATTTACTCCCAGAACATTTGGGCACCACCGCCTTAACTGGCACTACGGTTCCAACAGTTTTCCCACCATTGCTTTTGCACAATGTCAGCATAGCAACAAAGGCAAAAAACATCTCAGTATTTTTAGGAAAACAGCTTTGACCTTATGGATCCCTCTGAAGGGGTCTTGGGACTCAGGTGTCTCATGAACTATTCACTGAAAATCACTGTTCTAGACAGAATATGTGCAAAATCAATGCATTCCAAGAGTCTAATGAGTTTTGACACTACAGGGAGAGAAGAGACCCACATACAAACATATTATTCAAGACTGCACTCCCCACAGTAAACACAGGAACAAGTCATACTACAGCCAAGAAATCTGTAAAATCAGCTGCAAAGTTCATGAAAAATACAAGGGGAGAGAAAGCTGAATAATCTAATGACAAAATTTCTTTGTTAAATCATTCTGCTACACATTTAATACTATCAAGGGTATATTTTATGGGAGAGCAATTACCATCACCTGAATGTGCTGGCAGATTTATTCTTTCCAGGAATATTAACTGAGCCAGACACTGTATTTGAAGCTGGAGATATATTAGTGGACTAGATAGACAAGGTCCCTGGTTCTAGGAGGAGGAAACAGACAACATACAAATTAAAAATAACAGACTAATTTCAGATACAGTTGTGCATCCCTTAACAACAGGTACATGTTCTGAGCAATGTGTAGTTAAGCTGCTACTCTGCTGTGCGAACATCATAGAGTGCACTTACACAAACCTAGATGGTACGGTCTTCTACACACCTTTGTTGCTCCTAGGCTATGAACCTGTACAGCATGTTACTGTACAGAATACTGTAGGCAACTGTAACACAATGGTAAGTATTTGTGTACCTAAACATACCTAAATATAGGGCCGGCCCGTGGCTCACTCGGGAGAGTGCGGAGCTGTTAATACCAAGGGCACGGGTTCAGATCCTATATAGGGATGGCCGGTTAGCTCACTTGGGAGAGCGTGGTGCTGACAACACCAAGTCAAAGGTTAAGATCCCCTTACTGGTCATCTTTTTTAAAAAAATAAAAATAAACATACCTAAACATAGAAAAGGTGCCACAATTTACGTAAGTATAAAATATAAGGCTTTACTTTGAAGGCAGAATGACAGGACGATGAAGGAAAGGCAGGAAATTAAGAATGAATCCCAGGTTTTTGGCTTGAGGAAAGTGGGTAGATGGCAGTTCCATTTACAGAGATGAGAAAGATTAGAAGAGGAGCTAGCGGTGGGGAAAGGAAATCAAGATTTCTGTATGGACATATTAATCAATATGTCCCATTAAGACATCTGAGTGGAGATGCCAACTACATACTTAGGGATAAAGTCAGGCATGAAGATAAAAATTTGGAAATCAATGGCATTTAAAGGCATGGGGTTAGATGAGATCAACTAGGGGGAGGGAGTGAAGATAGAAATAGCAGCGGATCTGGAACAGAGCCCTAGAGCGCATTAACATTCAGAGAACAAATAGCAGATACGTTGTTTCCAGCTGCGGTAAGACCACAAACATATCTGAAACAAACAACATAATATATTGTTACACAAGTACGAAGAATAAGCTCTTAGGTGCATAAAATGAGAGCTTTTATCATGTTTACTACTGAAACTGCGGGATACAAGAAAGTTTTTTTTTTCACGTAGAGTAATGAGTACTTGTAATGATTCTAACTGCTTGAAAAGGTATTTGGAATCAGTACACAGGAAAAAAGGGTGAATAGAAGACAGTGCTCAAGTTCAGGAACTCTAAGAGGAATAGTAAAACAAATAACACTTCTCAAAAATTAAAAAGTCTAACAATATCAAGGGTTTGTGAAAAGGTATAGACAAAAGAACTCTCATCCACTGCTTGTGGAAATATAAATTAGTAAAGCACCTTTGGAGAGCAATTTTGTAATTCTAGCATAATTTAAACCCAGCTATTTTTTTTTTTAACCAGCAATTCTACTTCTGAGTACTGCATATAACCATCCTAAACTTTTATCCATAGCAAAAATTGAAAACAACCTAAATGTCTACCAACAGGGGAACAGAAAAATAAAATGTGATATATCCACATGATGGAATGCCATCCAGTAGTTAAAATCAAGGGACTTTCTCTACATTTATCATTATGGGTATATTTTAAAAACACAATGATAAAAGAGGAAAAATGATGCAGAACGATACATATGGTATGATACCATTTATATAAATTTTAAGATTCGTGATAATGAATCTGGGGAAGTTAGGAGAGAAGGGAATGGAATTGGGAAGAGGTATTAAAGGAGCTTCAACTTTAGTAATAATGTTTCATTTTGTTTATAATATAAAAGCAGACAAATATAACAAAATGTTACATTTTATTTTATTTAATAAATGCTTATTACCTGGATGAAAGGGACATAAACATTTATTAAATTATACCCTGTACTTTTATTTCCACAATTGGGGGAAAAAAGAGGCTGTGCATACACTTCTTTATTCATAGGGGAAAAAGGCAAAATAAGCAATATGTTTCCTGATGTTGATTCAGTATAGGAAATAGTGAAAAATTTTAAAATAAGCTTATCATGGTCATCTGAACATCTATCTTTTCAGCACATTGCAGGAACAATAGGGAATAAACATGAAACTTTCAAAGCTGGCTGTAAAAGTCAACAGCACTTACTTGAGCTTTCAAAATAACAGAGAAGATTAAACTATTTCTTCATGGCACTGAATACTCGGCTTGATCAAAAGGCATATCTAGGTGATATACGAAGCATTGAAAGAGACTAAATTCATCACTTCAGGGCTGAAATAACAGTTTCTGAAAGTGAAGATAATCCTGATGGGTTTAAAAGAAGATGTGGTACAAACAGTTTGTTACATTTTTTTTACTCTGTCCCTAGCCTATGATTATTTTCTTCGATATCTGGAGAAAGAAACTGATGATACATTCATTATTAGACATATTTAAGACCCATCCAAATGTTAAAACTGAACGTGAAATGCCTTCAGAGCCAAATACAACCAAATAATGGAACTCATTTGGCACCCTCCTCTAAACTGAAACAGTCTTCTAACATTTGAGTGTGATGTGATGTACTCACACGAAGTATCTGACAGAGTTGGAAATATTCTTTAGTAAAAAATTTCTCCAAAATTTCTGAATCCATATTTAATCTAAATATCTGACAGTCACTTGCTGCTATTACCAAAAAACTAAAATCCTGAGTTAGGACTTCCTAATTTAACAGAAATTAAGTAAGAAAAGAAATGAAGTGGATGTAAAATTTAACCTCTATCTCAAGCTGTCAGTGGCCCGGAGACAGACACCTGTGAAAAACTACAAACAGTATTTTACTGGACACTGAAAGGAAACAGGACTAGCCAGTTAGGTCAGTTGGTTAGAGAGTGTGGTGCCGGTAACACCAAAATAATGTTTATTTTTTATTTTAAATATTATGAATTTTTAAGTCATCTAAACTTGAAAGTTCACCTGCATGCTAATACTCATTATGGGATCTGCAGACTACTAAAATGTGAGGAAGTAGTAGGCAGATAAAGATGAGGAAGAAAAGAGGTGGGTGACAGCCAAAGCCAAACTTAACTTATTTTAAAATTTTGCCTGGGGCTGCTCTGGGCCTAGGACTAAGCGAGGAAACTCTTTTCTTCTTCATCCTCCCACCAAACACAGAGGCTGGTCTCTCACTCCTACAATACAGTTCTCAGGTCACTTGGTGACACTCTTCAATGTATCCTAACTTCTAAACAAAGCATATCTATGTGCAGATGCTTGTCATTACTTCAAAAATACTAGCAAAAAGAAATCAACAATGAAATGAACAATAAAATAGTAATAACAGTAATAATTATATTTTGCATTTGTTCAACACTCCAACTAAGACAGTATAAAGAATAAAAAAAAGAGCTGAATCTGTTCTTCCTATCCAAGTAAACCCGTGTTGATAATAACAACATCAGCATTATGAGGTGACTGTAAGCTAACTGCTGCCTTACCAAGCTGGTTCTTCATGCCCATGAGCACTGAGTTCATGTGTGCTTTGGATGCATAGAGCTTGCTCACAGCCTTCCTTGACCTGATCATCTCCTTGGCCAGAACCACACAGACATCCTTCTGGCCCTTCTTGGCAGCATCTTTCACAGACCGTTTCACTTTCTCTTCTTCCCTTTGGATATCTACATTTGGAACACAATAAAGAACACCAAAAATCAAGGGTAAACCAGATACACTGGCATTCACATATGTTCTTACTGTGATCTAAATGTGTGAATTAAATAGGAAAATATATAGGAGGATATAAATAAAATCAAAATAATCAGTGTGGCAGATATTCATCATTTCCAGAAACAACACTAAAGTAGTGTAAGAGTAAAAAAAGAAAAATATAATACTATTAAAATTGAATTTCAAAATGCTTTTTGTGAGCCCATCCTAACATTTGTTGGTACTGATCTAAAAACTTAAAAATCAGTGGAAATACATTCCAGAACTTGCTCTATCAATAAGTAGTATTCTGACAATTAGAGTATAATTTCTGTACAGTTACTAATGATTTATAAAAACATAAGGAAACTTACAACTTAAGGAAGGCCTGATCATTAAAGGTCTCATATCAGCAAGAGCTAGAGATAATATACATCTGTATTATACGTTTTATGATCGGTAGGATTTTTTTCCAATTTCACCTTCACCTTTGAATGCTATTTTGACTGGATATAGAAGTCTAGAATAATGTGGGGTTTTTTCCTTTCATCCTATCAAAAATGTTCTAGTTTGCATTGTTTCTGATAAGAATTTTGAAATCATTTTAATCATTATTTCCTGTATTTAATACGTGACCTTTTTCTTGAGTTGTTTTATCTCTTTGCTTTCAGTAATTTGATTAAGCTATGCCTTAGTGTGGTTTTCTTTGTGTTTATCCTATTTGGAGATGAGTTCCTTGGATCGGTTCTCATAGTTTTCATCAGACTTGGAAAACATTCAGCTATTATTTCATCTGATTCCTTCCTGACTCCTCTCCTCTGAGGCTCAAATTACACTCCCTGACAAAATAAAACTTAACACTCTTCAAAGGAAGACTATAAAATTCAGACACTCAACAGTTAAACATTCACAGTGGCCAGCATCCAATGAAAAATTACTGTGAAGAAACAGGAAAATGTGATCCAAAACCAGGAGAAAAGTCCAAGCAACAGAAATAGACCCAGGAAAAACAGAGATGACTGAATTGTAGATAAGGATTTTAAAAAGGTATTATAAATGTGTTGAGGAGTTTAAAGGAAAACATAGGGGCTGGATGGTTAGGTGTGACCTTATTAAGGTATGACCCTTTTAGGGGCTCTACTGAGTGTCCCAGAGGATAACAAAGTCTCTTCACTGTGTCTGATCAGAACTCAACCATCTCTGAACCCTTAGCTCTGCGAATTGTTCTGCTTGTATCTTCCTGGTAGTTGTTCTGTTCCCAGTATTTGTTCTTTGCCCACCCTCTTGAAATTGTACTCTAAGAAAGCATAACTTAGTATCAGGCCAAAGACTCAAAAGGATCCTATGCAGATATTTGAAGTTGTTTTTTCATTTGTTTGGTGGCTAGCTGGTATGGGGTAGAGTTCTTTCTGAGTATTTCCTTCCTCTCTGATACTCTGCCCCAGAAACTCTAGCCACTTCAACTTCCCTGAACCCCAATATTTGTCTCAACTCAGTGAGACCACAATGTTCTGCTTGGAATCCCTTTCATAGGCTACAATCCAGATATCTCCAGGCAGAGAGACAGGGCCATATTAGGGCTCTCTCTCTGCTTCCCTTCTCTCAGTGATCACAATCCTGTACTGCCAGCTGTCCAAATCTGAAAACATCTGTTTCACAGATTTTGTCCAGTTTTTTTCTTTCTTGCTTTGTCCAATTTTTTTTTTTAAAGATGACCAGTAAGGGGATCTTAACCCTTGACTTGGTGTTATCAGCACCACACTCTCCCAAGTGAGCCACGGGCTGGCCCTCAAATTTTTTATTCACAATGGGAGTACAATTGCAAGTCCAAAATCAATTACTCCATCATGGCTGGGAATAGAATTCCTCTCCCCAATTCTTTTTTAAGGTAGTGATATTGAGATACCTTTAAGAGATTAATTCTTCTCCAATCACAGAAGTGTTAAAAATCTTAAAAGTTTTAGCCATTACCATCCTTTTGTAAATCACCTTAATTTTAAGTGGTGCTCCAAAAAAAGAAAAAATCAGCCTTATTTAGAAATAGATTGGCCGGCCCGGTGGCGCACTGGATAGTGTGCCGCTTGGGAAGCGTGGCGGCGCTCCCGCCCGAGGGTTCAGATCCCACATACAGACCGGTTCCC